TTTGCAACGATTATGGCAAATTACAAATAAAAGGACAAATATAAATAACAAGAAGTTAATTACGTGTTAGAAATTGGTGGCATACAACCAACGCCAATGAAATAAATTGTTAGTATTTACGATAATTGAATTCAGGTAAAAGTGTTTCAAAATTGGGTCGAGAGATGATGCAGCATATCTATCGCGCTTTTATCCAAAGATTATTATTTTTGAAAACCTTATTTTTTAAGTTCTCCTGAAAAACAGTCAACTAATGGTAAATACCAGGTCAATTACTGGTGCTTTACCTTATAATAATTAATAACAGAAGAATAATATTTAATTTGAATTCGAAAGAATTGAGTAATATTCATGCTTATTAAATTCTGTATTTCGTAGAGCAAAATACAGAAAATGATAAAAATATGTCGCCGCATTGGTAGCATTATTTATAGAAATGATTTCAAATAATCATCATTTAATTGGCTAAACTATAGTAATTCGATTTGGTTGAAAGTCACCGGTGATAAACAAAATATATTTTATCAAACTATTATTATTAATTTATGTTGAGCCGATTCCACGTAAAATTAATAAAAAATTGTCGAAATTAATACAATTCTCATTTTAAATGTAACTTAGTAACTCCTCCTTAGTCTTGATAATTATTACAGGATCAATCTCAAATACCATGTTTTGCAATTGAGGTCACGTTATTTGTTACTCGTATTATCTTGTAAGTGGTTCAAACGAATCTATCTGGTAAATATAAGTTTAGTCTCCGATCCTCGTTAACACTATTTACTTTCTTCTACGCGAGATAAATTCTTGTATCGGTGAAACTGTCCCCATGTTTAAAAAAAAAATAAGTGACGCTAGTTTATCTTATCAACTAATTTTAGTACATGAAAAATTAGAGTAAATATCATTGGATATTCCTTTAATTCTTCTCAAAGACTAATAACGCATCAAATGTTTTAATATTAAATTGAAATTTTGTAATATCCATGATCACTGTTAATGAAACGATTAATTAATTTTATTCTCACAACAGCAGTTTCTATTCACTGCTGTCTTATGGTTTGGATGTTTTTATTAATATCTACACTCCGCGACAAAACTATAAGACACCTGCGATTTTATCTAATATTTTATTAATACTAATTTTTTCGTAAAAGTTTTGATTATTAATCCAAAGAATTAACTAAAGTACATACATTTCCATAGTGGTAATGTTGTTGAATTAGATTGAAAAAAGTTTCATTAAAATTTCTAATGTTTGATAAAATAAGGTGCGACAAAACTATAAGACAATGTATATTTTAAGTAAGAAAAAGTGGGTGGAAGTTAATGAAAAAAATTCGTTTTCTATTTATTAGTAATGTGTTGTGCCACCTTTATTTTTTATAGTTCCAATTAAAAGCCGTGGTATAGATTTATATAAATTTTTTATTTGATCTTAACTTAATTTGGCCCATTGTTTTTCAATGCGAGCTTTCAACTCTTTCACCGACAGAAACTGTTTCCCATTTCCATATACAGCACGTGCTAAAATTTCCCAAATATTTTCTATTATATTTAAATCTGGAGACCTCGCAGGCCGTGGTAAAATTTGTATATTACGGTCTTCAAAATATTTTTTTACACGTTTTGCTATATGTATAGCGGCATTATCATGTTGAAAAATATAATTTTCTCATGCAACAGTGCTGTCATGTTGCGTTAATTGTTCTTCTAATATGTCTATATATTTACTTAGTACCCTATTGCGGCCCATACCATGATGCCGCCTCCGCTCATTTGTTTCCTTGACAAATGAAATTCTCCCTTCCGCAAATCATGAAAATAATATGAAATACCATCTGGTCCATCTAAATTGAAACGTTTTTCATCTGAAAAGATAAATTTTCTCCACTGTTTTTCCCACTGGAAATGTCTTTCCGCAAAATCTTCTCTGACTACTCTGTGTCGATTCGTAAGTGGCGGTTTTTTCTGCAATTTTCGTCTTGTTAAATGCTTGGCACGTTCAATTATCCATTGTACGTTACGAATATTGGTGTGAATGTCAGTTTCTGCTGCAATTTGTCGTGCTGTCAAGCTAGAATTCGACGCTACCCTCAGAATGGCTCGTCGTTGTCGCTCGGTCGTCGCTTTTGGACGCCCACCAGGATAATTTTTTTTCCATAATTCTCTCTACTTTTTAAATATTTGAGCACGGCACATCGATTTCGTCCAATCACTCTTAAAATTTCTGAAATAGAAGTATTCTTTTCTTTTAAATTTACGATCACTCTTATTTCACTGTCTGTCAGCTTTTTCCCACGCGGCATTGTTGCTATATTATGTAAGAACAAAATTATAAATGTTTAATTTTAAGTGTACAAGTACTTCTAACACTATAACTACGATTACAGCATAAGATCGACTGACGAAAAGCTACTGTCTTATAGTTTTATCGTGAAGAGAATAGCATGTTTACATACATTTTCCAAGTTCTTGGAATTGTAGCCTTCGATATTTCGTAGAACTGTAGAATATACTTCTATATAATTTAAACAGTAACACTATGTATGAAGGAAGACAAAATTCAAGACTTACATAGAATTTTCATCGAATTTCGCACATGTCTTATATTTTGTTGCGGAGTGTATTTTATCTATTTTTTGTATTAAAATATTAATTTTCTATTAAAATTATCACAATATAGTAAAACAACAAAATAGTTTCTTAGTCTATCATGAAGTTTTACATGTATGAAAATAACTTCTCTGGCGATTCACTGGAATCCATTATATATTTGTAAGGCAGTTAATTTTCACGTATAAATTATGCAAAAGTGTCGCTGCTGCACCTCTGGGAAATAAGCTTCTGTTTAATTGCATTCTTGCTACGGTACATAGAACGCGAACGTCTGGTTGCTTAATTCAGAATTTAATGTCTCGGGAAAAACACTTAGCCATCTGTAATCACAACTCAATTGAAGAAAATGATAAAATATAATAAGAAAGACGATTAAAGTGTGTGATCGACCTTTCAACGATCTCTGCAAGTCAAGAAACTTTTGTTGCGATTAAAAACAAGATGAGTAATGGTGGAGAATGTTTAGGTATATACCCGTATCTTAGCTAATTATTTAAAAAAGATAGCTAGAGAAACATCCTTTGTTATGAAAAAGAGAAAGAGAATTGATATCCCATATTATAAATGCTTTCTACGGGATTAATGCAATTTATAATTACATAAAACCACGGCAGTAACAGTTAGTTATTTCATCCAGTTTGATTTTATTTATGAGTTGAAATCTACTAAATAGATATCATTAGTAATGATTAGATGAGGCATTTTTAATTAATACTTTGTTTTATCACGCGCAATGATAAATGGAAGGGAAATTTCTGTAGACTCATCTTTACAGAAATGTCCTATCTAGTCGTCAATTTCTATTCTAACCGTCTCCTTGAATAGAAAAATCACTAACATTCTAATAATAATTAATATATTCAAAATTGTTATTCTAAATTTTAAGTTATTTAAATAAAAACACAGTACAAGTATCGCGTTTATAAAAAGTTTTACAAAATCAATTTTGCGTTATTGTTTGCTTAAATTGTTTAAAACACACAAACGCATACACTCTTGAAAAAATAAATTATGCTTCTTAACATTTAATTTCATAAAAATGATGTCATGAATCAAATATACACAATATGTAAATCTATTTTATAATTTAATTACGTTTGTATTGATTAAAATTTATATTTTAATATTGACGAGAAGCAGGATAGACTGAATATCTTATGAGACTTCGTGACCAGTAGTCTGAAATACCGATTGTGTAAAACGAGCAGACGTTTTGATCTGCCCTCTACGATTAAAAGTAGCAAGCTTAAGAATTACTCTCAAACTAATAATTGAGATAGAAATAAGTCTCTTTTAAGTTAGCCTAAAGCTCAAGAAAAAAGACATCGATCATCCGTCCTGTGAAATTTCTTTCTTTGTTTCAGTATAATATAAATGCTTTCCAATACAATAAATAATTTTTGCCATTCTGTGAATAGCGTATAATATATATAACGGCAAGAATTATCTGTATCTGAAAATTTGCGCTTTTAATTTGTAGCGCCATCCGTGGAAAAATGCTCAAACTGATAGACAAACGCTACTGATGAAGGAGTTCACACGATGTAGCATGTATCTTTATTCAATATATTTATTTACAATATTCACTAAATTATTATGTTGAAATATTTTTATCGACCAACTTCTGTGACAGCTTCTTTCTAACTAACTATTTACAAAAAGAATACCACGGATATTAACAAAAGAATTTTAAAATGTGAAGTTAAACAATAGCTATTATCAAACAGAAATTGACTTTATCCACAAATAGAAATCGTCATTATCGACACATTATCTACAGCGGATTGATTGTAGCGCCATTCATGGCAAAATGCTTAATTTATTAACCAAATTGTATTTAAATACTTTCATTAGATGGCGCAGTTAAATGATTTAAAACTCTGTTTTATGAAAATTTAGTTATTAATTAATAAATGCGACGATTATCAATAATTATTGATGTAAATATCAATACAGAATATTTCAATGGATATTTACATTGTAATTCAGCATATTTTTAATCAAGTTTAGGCAAAAACTTTTGCATTTTTATTTCAGTCCGTTCAGATCCATTCAAACACATTCCAATTCGCGCCAATCTGCTTGAACTCGCTCTAGTCTAATTCAACTTGGCTTAATGTGCTCCAGTTTTTATCAATTTAGATTTATCTTCTCCAACTTTCTCTAATTCGCTCCAGAACGCCTGAATTCACTCCAATCAGCATTAGCCGGCTTAAGGCTTCTAACTCGTACAGATGTGATTGAACTTTCTGAATCCACTTCAATTCATTTACATATGTAGAATATATTGACGCAAAACATCCCCTTCTTTTAATTACTCATAAGAAATTTTAAATAATTGAAACAAAACAATTAAATAAATATTTTTTATTACAAAAAGTGGAAATAACATTTAACTTCGATCTTATCATAAATAATTAATTTATATAAATGTAGAATTAATATGTCTTATCTAAGGCAACTGGTGGTATTTTTCGTTGGTCCTTCTTGTATTTAACTGTAATCAAGAATCTTGAAAAAATATTCGACCTATAAAAAATTAATTTATTTGTTCAGATAATGTTTCATTGCATTATATATGTAGAAACAAACATTATTACCTCTAAACTTCCATCTTCAGGTAAATCAGAGCAATGTAGAGCATTCTGGACTTTTGTCTTCCCATACTTTGCTCGAAGAGTGTTTGGTCTTACTTGTCGTGCCATGTCCTGTAGAAAATACTACTATTAATATCATAGATAAAATGATAAGATACATGTACTTACTGGATCCATAGGGCCACACCATTTTCTGAATTCTCCCTGCACATCAAACTTTTCATCTTTGTGTTTTAACTCCATAACAATACACGGTCCAGATTGTAACTCGCCTACCATGGCCTGAAATCGAACTTGTTATCAATTTTCCTGAAATGAAATATTTTTGTAATCTATCTCAGATATACAAACCCCAAAGTCAGGAAGGACACCCTTGTATACTTCTAAAAATTCTTCTGCGTCAAATGGATTAACATTAAATTGTTGTATAGCAGAAATTGTGTAACCAGCTTTCTGAATGTCGTCGACAATGTCTCCTGTACCAGTAAGAAATAAAGAACAATATAAAACAGTCTTAAAATATTCTCTGCTTAAAAATGTACTTTTACATACCAGTTAATTTAGCTTGAACAGCATGTGGTTTAATAATGCAGCAAGTGCAATCTTTCAAAGTAGCTGTATTTGCTGGTCCTTTATTTCTGCCTTTTGAATCAGGAAAAAACAATTTTAATTCCTAAAAATATAATGAAAAAATATTATTCACATAACTTTCCAATAATATTGAAAAATAATACAAACTTTTTCTGCATTTTCTTCATTCAAAGAACCATGTAAGGCATTGTGTACAGTATCTTTTCCATAACAAGCTCTGAGCGAGTTTGGAGCTTTAGTACGAGCTTCTTCAGTATCTTCTGGTCCAATTAACTCAAGCCAACGTGTGATTGCATGGTCGCCCAATAATTCTAAAGCTACAATAGGACCTGAGATAAGATAATTTACAACGTACCTAATTAAAAAACATAGAAAATAGAATCTGCATTTAAAAAATGAAAAGTATGTGCGAGAATAAACTTATATATTACGCTGTGTCTGTATTGTCTCTCCCTTCACAAAACTTTGATGCTTCTTCCTGAGTCAGTCTAACCATTTTAATGTTTGCAATATGAAAATCACAGGAGACTGTCCGTTTCAATATTTCTCCCAAATAGTCAAGAGCATCTGACTTTACCATTGCAAATGTTCTAAAAAATATAATACTTTCTGTATTATAAAAGTCAATAATATCTTCTATCAATATCCAAGATAGCAAAAATACTTTTGCATTTTCATTTGCAATTTTGTTCGTGTAGCACAATCCGCATAATCTGTTATTTTTATATTTCGCGAAAATATTGTTACGATTGCACCAACGTAAAAATCCTTTGCTTGTATGCCCTCGCATGTTGTTCTTCGTAGAAATGTTTTTCTTGCTTTTATATCAAACTAAAATTTAAATCAATAGTATACCTTTATCTTTAAATTATTCGAACTAAAAAATTAGAAATCACATACCAGCTCAACTGTATTGTCATATGGGTAGTAGAACAAATAAAAATTCTTTAAGATACCAGCTATTTTATCGTACCACTCAGCCTCAAAAATATATTTTTCATTATGATCTACCGACATTATTTCGGTAATAGTATATTTAAAATTCTTTTTAAATCATACAAGGTTACGTTCAATATCCGTTCAATTATTACTTTTGTGTTGGACTCATATTTCAATCAAATATATGGATATATTTAAAATTGTTTAATAAATATAAACACTTTATTATTAAATGAAGTATCCTGCTTATGTGGTAGCTATGACAACGACTCGATTGGAGTCAATGAACAGCTGACTAATCCGTGTAACGCGCTTTACTAATAAACAATACGAGAAAAATTACGATTAAATATGTTTTTGTAATAGGATCCAATCGTTTATTATATTCCCTAATAATTTTGCGTGTATATACAATAATAACTGGTAACGCTTTTATAATGTAAATTTATATTTTTTACTCGGAAGGACACATGTGGCTGAAAAGACTTGTTGCATCATCTAGGACTCAACGCTCAAATTATTTGCCGAGTGGTATTATAGTTTCTCTATTAGATGGCGTAAGTTTATCGTTTAACTATTATATAAAAAAATACTCGATTATATTCAAATAAATAATAACAATGAAACCACTACGCTAATTTACAATTTTATAAATATGAAATAGTTAAAATTAAATAAATTATTTCTTCTTTTATTGTAATTTCTTTTTAAAGATTTCAATATTTTCCACGGCTGTATAAAACCCTGCAATTTCTTTATAAGCAAAACTAATAATCAACAATTGTTCTTGAATAATTTTATCTATATTTATCTTATCATTATTTATCTCGTCAATAAATAATGAATTGATGATAACAGCAACCGCATAAATCACTTTTTATCATTTTTTTAGGATCAACAAAGAGTAATTAGTTACATATCAATAATATGGTTCAGTAAATATTCCAATTATTAAACAAAAATTTTTATTTCCATTGATTTTACTCTCATGGACTCAATGCTCAGGCCCGTTTCAGTCCACTTCGGTCCGCTTTATGTCAGCCCTGATCCGCTGCAACTCTGGACCACTCCAGTCCGCTACGGTTCACTCCAGATCTGCCCCGTTCAGATTCAATCCGCTCGGATCTGCTTCGATCAGCTCCGGTCTGTTTTAATCCGTTTTAATCCGCCCGGAATCGTCGAGGTCCGCTTCAAACCTCTTCAATCTACCCCAGTCCGGTTCGTTTGAGTGCTACCAAGGGCGTACAGGTGCTCATATGCCTCCTGTACCTCCCTGGATCAGGTCTAGATGAATTCAAGAGTGCCCGAGCAGTT